TTCGACGACCCCTGCTACCACCTCAGGGTGCTCGTCCCAACGGTCTTGGTGGTCGGCCACAGCAAGCTCTAGCTTGGCAAGCCGTTTCTCAAATTCCACCATCGGCTCCCTAACGACCGACTTCTCCTTGCGGCTTCCTTTGCGGGTGGTCCTCCCCACCGAGCGGGAAACGTGATCCCCCTCAAGCTCCGACCCTTGAACGACCTCCGAAGGGTTGGACATAGCTTATGCACGAAAGAAAACCGACAAACGGAAGCGTAGACGATGTAGCACACCAAGTATCGAGCCGAGGCTCTGATACCAACTGTCACGGGCTTACTTTTTCAAAGTAACGGCCGGGCGGCACTAGCACAAAACAACTAACGATCAAGTGCTAGCTCAGCCTTAAGACCCCCAAAGCGTGCAAAGCTAGGCGAGACTTTAAAGAACGGAGGCAAAGAAAAACTTAAGAAAGGTTGAAAGTGAAAGAATGGTGAAGGCACAAGAGAGCTTAAGGAATGCTTGAGAACTCTACTCAAAGCTTGGATGATTACAAATGAAGGGGGCATGGGGTATTTATAGGCAAACCCCAAGTCCTAAAGAATTCTAGAGAATTCTATGTACATAATAAAATAATGGGATTCTAGAGAATTCCTACAATAAAATATTCTAAGTTCAAAATATCTACAAGTCTCTAGAATCTTCCACACGGTTCTAGCAAACTCGGGTAGCTTCCACACGGTTCCACTCGTTTCTAGAGAGTTCCGGGCCTCTCTAGAAAATTCCAGAGTCTTCAAGATTTGACTGGAGAATTCCACAAGGCTCTAGACCGTTCCGTCCCATGTCCGTCTACGAAAATAGCCCGTTTCGCATCAAACCACCCGAATTCGTGGTGAAGAAAAACTGTCCGTGACACAAGGAAGCAAGGTGCTGTGTTGGTGTTGCGTGAGGTCAAGGAGGAGAAGCTGCTGCTGCGGTTGCTTCGGTGGTGCGCAGGAAGGTGGAAAGGTGAGGGAGGTGGTGCGGTCTCGGCGGTGAAGAGGCAGAGGAGATGGTGACTGCGTGGGCAGCAAGATGAGCTCGATGAAGATGGTTTTGATGGTGAGCTCGGTGATGATGGTGGGGGGAGATAGTGGCTGCGTGGGCAGCAAGGTGAGGCCAAGGTGGTGAAGGAGGAGATGGGGGAAGAAATTGCAGCGGCGGAGTGTTCAACCATAGGGTTTCGGCAAGTTTTCGGTCAAGTTCGGTTCTAAAAATAAATCCCTAATTCTCCTTTTATAGGCTTCCGTCAAACCCTATTTTTTCGGGAATAAGGAAACTATATTTCTTTCAAGTCAGTTGGAATTAAAACTCCTCCGGATGATTTTATTTGGCCACCGAAATCAATTCGGAAACCATCTTCTTCGGCAAGCACAATTCGGCCAATTCAAATTCAAAATTCTGAAATTGCTTGTTTAGTCCTCCCAATCTTCAAGTGCTTCAATTTCTTCCTTTGAGTTACTTTTATCTTCAATTTAGTCCAGAACCTCAGCAATTCTTCCATTTGAGTACAATTCCTACAATTAAAGATAAAATCATATAAATAGCACATTTGTACTCAAAATATATTGCAAAAATCACAAATTAGGGATATAATAAATAGGTAAAATATAAGCATATCATATATTGATTATTTATCAAGTGTAACATCTAATTTCATTATATAAAGAGTTGGTAAAATCACATATATATTGATACATACAGGGAGTTATTTATACAAGAAAGTGGGTATAAAACCCTATCGGTAAAACCCTAACCGTAATACAATTAATTACAATTTACATTATTATATATACCAAAAACTTATTTTAAAATTATTATTTTATTATTTAGAACAAAATATTAGTTATTTTTCTATTTTAAAAAAATTTGTTTATAATTCAATTTTAATGATATTAAAATTTTAAATAACTTTCAGACATAAGTATTCAGATTCAGTTTTCAGACATCATATTCAGATGTTTTTATCAAACAATGTAAATTCAGTCTTTAGACTTCAAACTTCAATGTTAAGTGTTCATATTCATACTTCAGTGATTATCGAAGTAGCCTAGTTCTCATCATTTGATCAATTGATTTTCACATCACAAGTTAATTGATCTATTCTTGCACAACGCCCACAAACAATTATCATCACCATCTTCATGGTAAACTTGCTTTCAAAATGAAGACAAGGGTTTTCCATAGTCCACCTAATAATGAAATTCAAAGCACCAAAAGCCGTTATTCTGTTTTTCCGGAGCAAGTGAGATCCACCGTCCCACCTTTGATTTTGAATTGAAGGGATGAAGTTTTGCTAATTGATATCAATGATCATAGATTGGTTTCTCAAGATTTGTCAAGTAGGGTAAAGTAGAGTAAAATTGACCTTAGCATCAAGCATCAACAACCCAGTCAACATATGCTTTTGGTGTCTCATACTTATAGGTTGCGGTTGCGAGGATGAAAAACAGGAGTGGCATTGAAGAAGACGAATTCGGAATGGGAAAGAAACCAATTATTAGATCAAATCTGTCAAGAAGTGAACAAAAATAAATAAATAAATATCAAGGATAAGGTACGGTCAATGGAACAATGAGAGAGAAAAGTTGTTTGACCTAATAATTTATTTTGAGAAAAATAGTTCAAGTTTGCTCTGACAGTTAATTTTTGTGTTGGTAAATGCCACCCTCTGAGAATTTAGCAATTTGAGGGTGGAATTTAGCAATTTCAAATTAACTTCCATTTATGATAGGGTTAATGTAAAAAATACTCTCGAAATTTAATTAATTATTATCTAAAACACCTGTTGAAAAAATATCACTTATCCAACAAATTAACTGTCAAAAAATTGATTTATGACTGTCAATGTAGCCAAAATAGTGTTACAACTTAGAAGTATGTTGGTATTTGGTACCCCTATTTTTTTTTCAAACTATAATAAAATCAAATATTAATTTTTAAATCCAAAGTTCATTGTTAAACCTCCAAAATAGCCATTCCTCTCCTCAAATATCCACCACTGTGAAAAGTAAATGTTTAGATATAGAAAAGGAGATTTGATTTTATTAGGGTTTGAAAAAAAAAAATTCTATAAGGGTTTCTTTGGGGTGCAGACATTTTTTTGGCATACTCTGACTAGCCTTCTCGCCCCCTATAAATTAATAATTTATAAATTAATAATATTTATAAATTAATTAATAATTTTTTGTGGTCCAATTCGGGACCAATATAAAAAAACCAAGCAACCGATACTAGGATAATAATTTTTCATAAAATTCATATCGTAAATATATGTCCCACCGTTGTCATAAATTTATAATGACTTGAAATCTTTCTTTTTTTTAACAAAAGAAAAAAACAAGGAACTAGTAAAATATGATTCTAGTAAAAAAAAAAATTCATCTCTGGGTTTTTATCATTGCATTCAAAAGTCCTGGTGTAATTTTCACATATTATACCAAAAAAATTTGGAAAGTTATTGTCATGGTAAGTGCTTCATTTTGTGTGATAGATTCCAAAAACAATGAGTAATTATTATTTTCATGTTCAGTCAAATTCCTAGTGACACTAACTATAACGTCCTCTAAAAATTTTCCTAACTAATGGATAAATTAATAATTATTAACTTATAAATAAATTAATACATTTATAAATTAATAATCATCTACAAGGTCTTAACATTATTAATTTATTGATAGTTTATTGTACATAAATCAACTTTCAGTCACCGAAACACTCTTTCGATAATTGACTTGTCGGCCAAAAGATTTTTTTAATATTTCTTTAAAAGATAAAGGTATTTTAGACAATCAATTAAACTTTAGACGTAATTTTGATATTAACCCTCTATGATACGCTTTTTTTTTATTGCATTCTTTTGTGTGTTCATGTGTTTTCCTTTGCTTTCTCTTAACGTCGGCTACAATTGGTTGGTTTGGTGACATATACAGTAACATGTGTCAGTATAACTCATAATAAATTGAAAGTAAAGATGGGAATTTGATGACTCTTGATATTATCTGAGTGCATTTTGTGCATAACACAATGTGAAGAAATTATGAATATATTTTGATATCTACACTAGAGGCTAAGCTGGTGATTATTCTTATGGCATTAGATATGGAAAATCGATGGCGAAAATTGCTTGTTTTTAATTTGTAAATTTGTTGCAGGATTTTTTATTTATTTTTTTCTTCCTTTCTTCTGAATACTGTGTGCATGTACTATAGTGAACCTGACGGTGAAAATCGGTAATGATTGATCGCACCAAGTGTGTGTTGAATCCTTGGCTGTCGCTCTCTCACCAAACAAAACCTTTCTCTTCCAGAAAAATAAACAAAAGAAAAATTATTGCATTATTATTATTATTATTATTAGTAGTTGTAATTCTTCTTTCTCTGCAAAACTCTCTCTTTTTCTGCTGTTATCTCATATATCATCTGTCTGTCATTCTTCCCATAAAATCAACCCTCTCTGCCTTCCCATCACCCTTTTCGTTTTCTTTCCATTAACCAAAAATCTCTGAGCTATCTTTAAAAAAAATATATATTCCAAGAGAAATAAAGGAAAAGGGTCATATCACCTATTTTATTTATTTATTTATTTTGGTTTCTTCATCCACATACAATTCCTTCAAGCCTTCAACTATTGATTCCCTTTCTCGTTTCTTTCGTTTACATCATAAAAATCCAACCTTAGCGATTTTTTCTGAATGCATCAGAAAAAGAAAAAGGGTTCTTCTTGTTAGCCGGTCAGAATAAAGGTTCTTCGGGATTTCAGATGGTCTGCTGTAATACGGATAGAAGAAAAGATGTTTATAATGAAGGGATCATCAAGAAGATTAAATTTAGCAGGATAATGGAAAAAGGTGATAATGGGTTTATGATAAAGCCACGATCTTTATCATCGGCTTGTTTTTCATTTCAGAAGATCCCCTCTTATTCTTCTTCTTCCTCGTACATTGTTGTTGGCGTTCCAAATGTTGTTGGCTGGAATCTCGAATGTCGATGCTGCTGCCACCTTCTCAGTTGCATGCGCTCGGCATCCGATTCCTCCCCCTCCTCCTCCTCCTCCTTCCGCTGTTGTTGTTGCTGCATTGTTGCTGCTTCCCAACCCTTCTTTTCATTGGATTCCCATTCTTACTACTGCCAACAAGAAGATGCCCAGCATTGCCACCTCTAGAAGAGTTTAGGTTCCGCTTCTTGTTCTTCTTGCCCTGTTTTTTCTTCTTCATCTTCTTTCGGTTGAGTTTTGCTGCTTTCTTTTCCCTTTTGTTGTTTTCTGTTTGTGTTTGTTTGTTATCCGTGATGAGTTCCTCTGATGCTGCTGGATTGAGATCACCTGGAAAATTTGGAAGAAATGGGAATGAAATCGGGGTGAAATGGAATGGGGATAAGAACTTAATTGGATCTTCTGTTGTTGCTGCTGCTGGTGGTGGGGGAAAAGATGAGGCGTTCCACAATTGCAATAACCATTGTGTAAATAATGAGCCTCCTGACTCTGAGCTCTATTTGGAGAAAGACCCTAAGGGTCGCTACATTCGGGTAATTTTTATATTTTATGTCTTTCTACATTTATCATTGTTGCGTGTTACGAAATTTGACCTTGATATCCGCTAAAGCAGTTTATGTAACTGTGTATTCATGACACATTCTTGATGAGTTTTTTCTTGGTTGGACAAAAAGTTCAATTTGGTAGTATAGGAACTGTCCAGTTTTCCAAAAGGGATTATGATATTATTTTGATGTTCTATCTTATATAACAATCACGTCTTTATGAAGAGTTGTGATTTTGTTTACATTTTTGGATATTGGGTTGTGACTGCTTTTATTGGGTTAGTATTCAGTTGGATGATAGCTTTTTATATGGTTTTACTCTTGTTATTGAGATGAAAACTTTAAGCAAACTTGGCTTAGCTTTACTTGTTGTTCGTATCTGTTAATTCTTCATTGCTAATGTTGTCTTACATTGTTCTGCAGTGCAATGAGGTATTGGGCAAGGGGGCGTTCAAGACCGTGTATGATTTCAAACTTTTCCCTCTCTCTTGCTATGTGATGTTTTTCTGATTCTGTTACTAGCACCAGCTGTAGCTGGTAGTACAAGGATGTGTTTTCTTGTTTTAGTGGTTGTAGATATTTTCGGATTAACTAAACTGTTTGGTTATAACTTGTTTCTGCTTCAATAGCTATAGGGCATTTGACCAATTAGACGGCATAGAAGTTGCATGGAACCGAATTAAGATTGCAGATGTCTTACGATCACCAGAAGATTTGGAAAAACTCTATTCAGAGGTTCATCTACTCAGGCAATTGAAACATGAAAACATTATGAAATTCTATGACTCGTGGATTGATGATAAGAAGAAGACCATAAACATGATCACTGAGCTCTTCACCTCTGGGAGCTTGAGACAGTTGAGTTCTTTTGAAACTGCTATTTAGTTTCTATGTGTCTGGATATCATGCTAAGAGATCATACTTGTGCTTTTGTTCTGGTTGTATTAGGTACCGTAAGAGGCATAGAAATGTCGATATGAAAGCTATAAAGCTTTGGGCAAGGCAGATTCTTAAAGGTTTAGAGTATCTTCACAGTCAGAATCCACCTGTCATTCATCGAGATTTGAAATGTGATAACATCTTCATAAATGGGAACCACGGTGAAGTCAAAATTGGAGATCTAGGGTTGGCAACTGTTATGCAGCAGTCGACTGCCAAGAGTGTTATCGGTTGGCTATCTCTTGCTTTTTTTTGACACATTTAGAATGAAGAATTTGAGAACCATTCAAGGGTGTATGACCTATCTTAGCATTTTTTCTGTGTAGGAACCCCTGAATTCATGGCCCCGGAGCTATATGAAGAGCAATACAACGAATTAGTCGATATTTATTCATTCGGTATGTGTATGTTGGAAATGGTTACTTTGGAGTATCCTTACTCGGAGTGTAAAAATCCTGCTCAAATTTTTAAAAGAGTGACCTCTGTAAGTGTTTTTTCTTTCAATTTATCATCTTGCAACACATTATTTTATTCGCACATTTGCAGTTTTATTCTATGATAGTTTTGATACTTGTTGCGATCCAGGGAGTTAAGCCTGCTTCTCTAGGCAAGGTGACTGATTCAAAAGTGAAAGATTTCATCGAGAAATGCTTGCGTCCCGTGTCTGAGAGGATGCCCGCGAAGGAGCTTCTTAAAGATCCGTTTCTTCAAGCTGAAAACCTAAAAGAGCCGCTTCACCGGGATCCAGTGAAGTCGATGATGGACCAAATTCCTAAACCTTCATTAGGATTATTGAAATCTGAGCCTCACTCCATGGATATAGATGTTGAATATACTCAGTCTTTGTGTATAAACTCCAATTCTGGTAGTCCATGCAATCCAATTCTGGAATTCCAGCGCACGCATCAGAACAAGGAATTCAGATTAAAGGGTAAGAAAAATGACGATCATTCCATTTCGCTGACCTTGCGAATTGCTGATCTACATGGTAAGTAAATGTAGTTTGTGTTCATGTCAAATTCTCCAGGATGATTTTGTAAAATAGTATAGTCTAATAAACCAATGCATTTGAGGTGCAGGCCCCGTGAAAAACATACACTTTCTATTCTACCTCGATAGTGACACTGCACTGTCAGTTGCGGGGGAGATGGTAGAACAGCTGTCATTGGCAGATCACGATGTGGCTTTCATTGCAGACTTCATCGATTACCTGATTATGAGAATGTTGCCCGGATGGAACCCTTCTTCTTCAGGAGATAATTCTTCAAGTTGGGGTGGAACAAGCATAAATGAAGGGAGCAGTGTTCCGTCAACCGGCCTAACCCTTAATGCTACAACTACTAGTATTACGGTGACTCCGTGGTTTACCCCAGGCGGGGGTTCCCCTGTGAAGTTAGCTGCTCTCAAGCTAGATAATCATGTTGTGGTCTCAGCGCCTGATAAAGCAAATAACTTGTCAGAAAAATCTGGCCATGCAACTCCTCATGTAGCATTTCATATTCCTCATGACGAGGAAGAATCTCAAGGGTCAGTGGACTTTGAAGTCATGGGCGAAGGCGGTGCCTTGATAATTAGAAACAGAAATTGTTCGGGATCTCTTGATTATGTCAATAATAATGAGTTTCTTAAAGATCACAGCACACAAGTAACCGAAATGGAGATTAGGGATTTCCATTATGACGAGTGTAAGGTGCCAGAAAATGATTGGGGCGAATTCAGAAAGAGTCCTGCAATGAGTTTTACGGATAAAGTTACAAACTTAGCAAGCTGTTGCTTTTCATCTTCCTCTCAGGCAGCGGAGAAAAGCCATCAAGAAACGGAGCTGATGAAGACCGAGTTGGATGCAATTGATATGCAGTATCAGCAGTGGATACAGGAGCTATCTAGGATGAGGGAGGAAGCCATAGAAGCTACTAAGAAGAGATGGATGACAAAAAAGAACTAGCAGTTCACTGAAAACAAGTAGTGAAGTGAACAAATCAGGAGGTTTGATTTCTATATAGTATGTACTATTTTTAATAAGTGTGTGTGTTGTGCTTTGGTTGTGGACAGCAAAATATTAACATATGGAGGGGGCTTCTGAGTTTTGTTGTATTGAGAATTTCAACACATATGCCAGCATCTTTTATTGTAGCTTTTAAGCATCCTTTAAAATATATATATATATATATATATATATATATATATATATATATATATATATAGACACACACACACACATATGATGCAGATGCCAGTATGTATTAACTTAGGAAATGGGGAATATATGGAAAATTTCAGATAGGAATTTCTGTATATAGTTTTGCAGGTAAAGTAATATTTCTGGAATGTGATTATTGTGTTGCCTCTGATTTAACACGTTTTTCAGTTTACCAGAAAAGATCCTTAAAATCATGATGTGTTTACATTCCTTGCATCAAACAAAAGAGGCCTAACACAAACAACAACAGAGAAAGAAGGAAAATAGATACAAGCAAATTGTTTGAGAAGTTGAATCATATACACACCTAGGTGTGTGTATTGGATTTGGAGCCAATTGTGTTACTGTTTGACGCCTTCTTCTTTGTCGATTAGTAAAGTAGTAGTACGATTTAAACAGTCAAAACAGATATAATAATAATAATAGTGATAATAGTAACATCATCAAAATACATGTATTATCCCTCACTCCCAGATCACCATAGATTTTTAGTTATGGTGTGTCATGGTAATATAATCTCATATGAGTGAATGATTTAATTTTGGTTCACATAGTACTAGCTAGTAGCTAATGTGTACTAATGTTATGAGTATTTATTATTATTAAGTGTTGATAACATGTATCAAATTAATTTTTGTAATGAATCCACCACATTATTATTTATTTATTTATTTTTTTTGGGGGTGGGGAAAAAATAAAAAGGCAAGGAAAGGAAGGGCGTTCTTGTTCTCGCATGCAAAGAACATGGTAAAAGGGCCAAATGAAGAGCAACCTGGTTAGCTGCTCCGACTGTGGAGAAGTTTTGGGGTGGTGGTACGACAAGGCTTACGAGGTCTCCCAGAAGTACAAGGAAGGCAATTGAAAAATCCAAACTCGTCCAACACCCACAATCCCATATAGTATATTGCTAGCTAGCTTGCTTCATTTCATCTTTCCTCATTTTGCTTAGTTAATTTGGTGTTGCTTGTGAAATTCCTTGTAAATTTGTGCAATATATTCCTTGTAACTTTGTTACGCGTTGGACATGCTTTTATTTAATTTGCATTGGAGTACTACATATTCTGGTGTCAATATATTTTCAGAACCCTAATTTCATTATTATTCGTAACTACTCTAACCGCGTGCTGTCCTAAATTCTAATCATGTCCATGAATAATTGTGGTTTTTATAAAATAATAATTATTATTATTACAATTTATATCCTCTTGCGTACATACATCAAAGTATACTATCTTCTTCTTCTTGTTCACAATTTCTTTTGTTTTCTTCCACCAGAATAGCCAACGGCACCTTCCTCGAATCACACCTTAAATACTGCCAAAAATCAGCTGTGAGTCCTCCCCCTTTTAAATTTTAATTGTTGTTTTTTTATTTATTATAGTAGCGTAACAACTCCACCATTTATTCTATACTTCTTCTTTGCAAGAAAAGAAGATCACCAGAGTCAGTCACAGTGTGTTGAATAATAGCATCCATTACTCTCAACCAAAAGAATATTCCTTCCTACCCCCCACCCCCCACAGACCTGGAAAACACACAAAAACCATACTGCCTGCAGGATATAGATAGCTTGCTGGCTTAATTACTCATCATCATCAACTGTGGGTGGGTCATACTCATATGTCTGTATAATCAAGCAATGGAAAAGGAGTCGCCATCATCAAAGCAGCAGCCGCAGCAGGAGGAGGAATCAAGCAGCCAAATCTATGAAGATCTGTTGCCAGTAATGGCTGATAAGTTGGATGTGGATAGTTTTGTGAATGAACTGTGTTGTGGGTTCAGGATGTTAGCAGACCCCGCAACCGGGCTGATCACCACCTCCAGCTTGCAGAAAAACTGTGGCTGCTTGGGTATGGAAGAAATGAGCTTGGAGGATGCAGAGGCCATGGTCAAAGAAGGGGATCTTGATGGGGATGGTGCTTTGACTGAGACTGAGTTTTGTATCTTAATGGTCAGACTCAGCCCTGGTATGATGCAACATGCTGAAACTTGGCTCCAGAAAGCTATTGCCCCTGAGCTACAACAGCACCAGCACCACCACCAGCCCGCTGATGCTTAAGCAGTGCACCCGGTACTCCTATCAACCACATCATCGCTCCTTTACCTTCCACCCGAGTAGACTAGTATGCTTTATCTGCTGCTGCTGCTTCTGCTCGTTGATCTTTTTATATAATAGTAGTATTGACGAGTTCCCATCTGTTTCTGGGAAGACTTCAAATATGATACGAAGTATATTTGATGTGATAAAAGAGACGTATAGAACGACAAAAGATTACTAGCTTTGTTGTTCCGAGAAAGATATATGTCTAATGACCAATGTTATGTAGTAGAACACTAAATTGCCTACTTGTATGTATAGCACCAATATGAAGCTTTACATTTCCCCAGGCATGGCATGGCTTTTACGATTCATTTTTTGATGTCTATGAAATAAATAAAGAAAAAAAAATTCAAAAGTGAAACTACCATATGTGTACACGCAAAAACATTAAAACAAAAATTAATAAAAATAAAAATAAAACCTTGCAATCATCTAGGTAGAGTATGAAATTAAATAGATCATAAATCACCCACCATCTAAACAAACCCAAAACGTACAAAACCGTTTTAGCAACACCCTATCGTTTCATAAAACAACTGCCGTTTGAACCACTCCAAAACATCATATGTAGTCATCAATGAGGGCATTTACCAACACTACCAGGTAATGACTTCAAAAGCTACTGCAGCATTTACAAGTGATACCAAATCCAATAACCCCTCCTCTCACACACATAAGATTCTCAACGCCTGGACCGCAAGGGTGACCTGCTGTTATAACACAAAACAAGAAAGAATCAAGCAAAGGCTGAATTCAAAAAGACGCGTGGCATGATGTGAACCATATTAAACAAAAATGGAGGAAACGGAATATAAGTGTCGGCTATACCTGCGACTGCGATATCTACCATACTCGGGACTGGCACGCCTAGCATGAGGACTGCTGTACTTATCATAGACTGGACTACGAGCTCGCCCATAATCAGGACTTCCTCGACCTCTGCGATATGCTGGACTAGGCGACCTCCTGTAAGGACTAACCCCACCCCTGTTGTGGTCTCTTCTCGGACTGTGTCTGTCTCCCCTTTCACCATCATCCCTCAAAGCGTACTCCACAGACACAACCCGGTCCAGTATCTTGCTGTATGATCACAAGCCACAGAGTCATCAGGCAATACACAAAAGATGCACTATCAAGTACTCGTATCAACATTGAATAAGATGGTATGGCTACAACGATGAATTGATAGAAAGAGCATACCTCATATGTGTACACTCCAAAGCTCTCGTGGCCTCTTCCTGGGTTTCAAACTGCACAAATGCAAAGTTTCTGCGGATACGAACATTAAGTATCGTCCCGTGAGGTTCAAAATGTCTTTCAATGTCACCAATCCTAGTGCGAATTGGGTCAAAGTTGATCACAAACAATGTCTTCGTTGGTCTCTGATTTGCTGCCATCGACCTGGAACTATCCCGATGTCTTCCACGTTCTCCCTGCAAATTGAGATTTTATTGGTCAGTCTTTATCCAAGTATCATATTCCACTTCCCATCAATCGGTTAGAAAGTTAAAAGATTGAGATGGGAATTCACCTTGGCCCATTCTACCGAGAGTTTGCGCCTCTCATACCCAAAGGAGTAGTTGTCCAGAGCTCGAATGGCATCTTCAGCATCACGCTCATCCGCAAAGTAAATAAAAGCAAACCCTGCAAGAAAAATAAAATCCTCAAGAACAAAAAACAAAAAATTCAAAACGATAATGCTTTGAACCCTGTTTTAAAATTGGCAAAGTAGCTAAACCAGGATATTCTTCCCTGGAAAAGAAATTTAAAGGAAAAAAAATACGACACCTGAAAATATGTCAAAGGCTGATTGAATGAAAGGAGGCCTTGCATGAAGGACTAAATCATAATGATGAATTGGACAATTGGTGAATGGGTACAAATAAGGTGTTAAGTTGCCAAGTATCATGCCTGAGAGTACTCATTGCTAAGCATGCTTCAACAATTTCACAGCACGAGTTCAGTACAAGGAAGGCAGGGCATGATGACAGAATTCAATGATTCCCCTTAAAAGAGTATGGTGGTAGACATGGCATGAACTGATACTTTCACACCAGTAAGACCATTCTTGCAATAGCAACTTAGGCAGTGACATTAGTGAGTGAGACATGGATCGAGTAAAGAAATGCATTCCATCTTTGAGTAGAAGAGGAGAGCAGGCAGTCAGATAAGTTTCCTTTTGCAATAGAAATGGTTTTGGCACAGAAGTTGTAGCAAGCCAAGTAAGAATCTCACTTTTCCTTAGGAGATGATGATCCTGCGTCAAAACAAACACTTAAATATAGATGCCTTCTACGATGATATATCTTAACAGGTTTCTTTTATTTACTTCAATCAAGTAGCATTTGGACAAACCTTGAGGCGTTCTCAGAAAGAATTACCATTCAAAACCTTCTCCTTTCTGCTGATATTTTTTCCCCTTTGAAAACTATATACATTTACCTAATCAAAATTCCCCGATAAAGCTAGGTTCATTGGAAACAAGTGCAGCAACCCCATTGCATTAAAATGCCCAAACAATTATGTTACTTTTCATGTCCCAAAGACTTTATCATCACTTAAAAAGTATATCTATTTGTGGCACACATAAGATATAAGCTACCAAACCAACATACAAGATCTGCAACTGTATAAATTTCACAGATTAATATACAACAAATTCGAAAGCAGCATAGTTGATCACAAACACAAACACACACACACACAAAATACGAAAAAGAGAACAGGAAAACAACACTATTGAAAAGTTAAAAGGCTTTGAGGGGTAAAATAAAATACCAGATTTCATGTCGACGCGCTCAACACTCCCGTATTTGGAGAACAATCGCTCAAGGTCAGATTGACGAGTCTCGAACTCGAAATTACCACAGAACACTGGCCTCATCTTCAGTAATCTTCAAATCAAAACCTAATTACAAGATACAAATAATAAGTATAACGAATACAATAATAAAAATAACCACCCAAACAATCATAATAAAGAAAAGCAATCAAGTGTTTATTAAAAAAAAAAAAAATTCACACCGAAAACAGTAACTAAAAACATGAGAGATTTTCATCATAAACAAAATCACAAAATTATCCATCAATTTCTAAGTTCCGGGTATGGATTGCCTTTTCTTCTTTTTTTTTTTTCCCCTTCTTTACACACCGGAATCAACCTCTCAGTCTGAATTCCGCAAACGTTAAATATTTTTTTTTGAAAAAAAAAAAAAAAAGGATCGAACCGTAGATATTTCTCCGCTAAGAGCATAAAAGAATGGAGCAAAATACACCAAAGAAACAATGTACGAAATATGCCATAATTGCTCCTCGAAAATTAAAGGTTAAAAATCAAACTTAGCAAAAGCAATGGTTTTGGAGAGCGGGTAGAAGCAGTACCTTTTGGCGTTCGCGATAACTCGTAGGGAAAAAAAAAAGCCCTAGCTTTAGAGAATGTTTCTCTTTTTGAGGAAGGGGTTGAGTCGGTGAGAAGATTTTTATCGGAGAGAACCTGGAAACGGGCCGATAGGTGGGCCGTGGGCCTATGAACCAACGGAATTCATCATTTGGTTAAAAGTCAACTACGAAATAATAGTAAAAAAAAAAAAATCTCTTACTACTATATCTCCATACTTGTTCTAGTCCAATCAATACAAACAGTAGTTCCAATTCATTTCATGCAATTTACATTCCTGCCAAAAGAAGTCATTGACGATATCGACAACATAATAAAACTCTTTCTTTAGCGGGCTAAACAAGGAGAAAAAAATAAATCTCATAATTGGGAGCGTGTATGTTAACCCAAAAAAATAAGAGAATAGGAAATCCGTGAGATGAGAAAAGTCAACACATCCTCTATCCTCAAGTTTTTAAATAACGTTGCTCTTCCTCTCTCTAGAGATCATTCTCTCCTTGGAGAGATAAACCCTAATTTCTAAAGGGGTCGCAGCCGCCGGCACCTGACTTGTGAAATTGTAACAGTGAGAAGCTTTTTGAGCATAGAAACTGAAGATTGGTCTTAACGAAGCATCAAAAGGGGAAGGGGAGTACAGGATTCCTAAGTATTGGAATCCTAAGAGAGTGCAGCAGGGAAACATCTCCTTAACCCAAGCATGATTAGTACTGTGTTTCACAAGATTTTGAAAGGATTGAGGCGTTACTACTTATAAGGAGCCAAAATGAGAGGTAGTTTAGGAGGTTTTTGTTGGTAAGTGTTATCGGAGGTACAATTTTTAGGCTGGAATAGAATAATTGCACTGCTTCTCAAGGCTGCGAAAAGGTACTTTTCAGTTTTTTAACGGTATTCTATAGAATTTGGACCTAGGTATTCAGTGAATATAGGAGAATCTGAGGATAGAAATAGCTGCGGACTGCTTCACAATTGGTAGTTCCTGGCAGCAAATATATTCTATTTGGAAGACATGAGTAATTGAATATCTGAATAGAGTAGGAGTTACCATTGCCTTTTCTACAAAAGACTGGAGCCGACTGCATTTTCCAATCCCAGACAAAGCTATTAATGTAATTGTGTAAAGGATGTTCTGAGGCTGTTAAGTTCTCCAACATATTTTTTATTTACCTTGATAGAATTGGCTATAGGTGAGTGATCGAAGATGGGGCTATATAATGCTCCCATGGAGAGGTATCTGCCACCACCAGCAAGATTGAAAAAACAAAAAGCCTTTCCTGAAAACAACAAGCCTTCCTCTTCAATGGAATATCTTTTTTCTGATAACTCTTCACCAAAATTACTGGGGGAGCACAACAGAGCTAATAGATCTCCCTCTGATACTGATTCGTTTGCCAAGGGGCAACACAAGCAGCACATCTATCGGTCACATCACAGAGGTTTAAGATGTCAGTTGCCTTTGGAGGAGGTTCAGTAGTCCATCAGTCAGCATAAGAATTGTCTTTTGGGCTATCTTTTTTATGACAGGAACTTCAGTTGGGAGAAGATGCAGAGTTATGTGAGGAACAATTGGGGCGGTTATGCCAGGGTTATCCACAAAGTAAAGAATTTCTTTGTTTTTAAGTTCAACTCGCGAGAAATTCTTAAAATGGTTATGTACAACAGTCCCTTCGCTGTGGATGGAGGACTTTTGGTTTTAAGCAGATGGTTTCCAAACATGTCTTTGGAGCAGCTGAGAATTGAGCGTATATTTATGGGAATTCATTTATATGGGTTGCCAGTGGAGTGTCTCACCCCACCAATAGCGTCGCGAATGACTAGTATAATCGAAGAGCCATTGTCGGTGGGGGTTACTGAAATTTATGCAAGGAAGGCAACCTTCTTGAGAGCTAAGTGTGAGATCAAGCCCTATGATCCGTTACCATCAGGTTTCTTCCTTCATTCGTGGAATGGTGAGAGTATCTGGATCAAATGCAGTTATGACAGATTGTACAAATATTGTCAGTACTGTGGGGTTATTGGACATGTAATTGAGAATTGCTCCATTGATCAAAATGAGGAATTAGAGCAGTACTTGAATGCAACTTTTGATCTTAATGGCAGGGAGAAAAATGTTGCTTATGGTAAGGATGACGGCATCAATTTGTTTTCACCTTATATGAGGATGACAGATGGGCAAATAAATAAAAAGTCAACTAGGCTGTCACAGGACTACATCAATAGACATTTTTATATCTTCCAAGGTATGAGGGAGGAGGACATAGTCGATGGTTTTGTTTATAGTCGCAGGGGATAGAATAGTGGGATCGATCTGGAGTCGGTTACGGTGGAAACAGAGGTGATACGGCTGCAACGCAGGTGTGCTGTAAGACAGGTGGGGCATGATTTAAGGGAGGATCCGATGCAGGTGGACACGCCGGAGCCAGAGAAGATGCAGCCTGGATGGAAGAATGGTTTTGATCGGAATAATGGCCCACTAACAGAAAGGCCCAGTAGACAGCTGTCTAGGCCAAGGGAGACACAGAACTCGACACCAACAAATATCATTACCAATAGGAGCATTAGGGACAGGGCCTACATGTCGGAGAGAAGGGTATGGATAGATCCACAAGACAAACAACCAGTGCAGCACGTGGATCAAGGAGAATACCGGTCAATAATGGTACGTGGGCAGCAAGCACCAAGGTTTAGAGAGGAGTCAAGATGGAAGGAGTATCTCTCACCGTTACAAAGCATATCATACAGTGGAACTACAGGATAGCAGTTGGGAGAGATGATTTTTTCACAAAATCGGGCCAGCTTGCTGTATTCATCTCCAAGCCCAAAGATAGCTCCATTTAATCTTCGGTTAGCAGAGGAAATAATGGATCAACTTATAACTTGTGAAGGTCAGAGAGGCCTAAATGTGACATCAGGCCTGGAGGCCAGGAAGTACTGCTCGACTTGGTCAAAGTGGATTGAATCAAGACTGGGCCCAAAGATATTTGACAAGTGTGGGCTGGTTGACTCTAGAAAGGAATTGATTGTCTCAAGATGGTAAGTACAATAATCTCGCTAATCATCATTTTGGTCAGTGGACATGAAATAATACAAGAGGGCCTGGTAATGCAACGATACCAGAATGCCCCTTTTCTCCATTGCCATCAATAGACTCCTTAGGGTTTTACAGTTACGACAATTTGCAAGAAATGAGTTTTATCTCGGAGGAAAAAGTTGAAATGATGGAACAAATTCGTCTGGGAAAGCGACCAGTGCAAGAAGGTGAGGGGGTAGATCAGAAGCAGATGAAAAAAAGAAGATATGAAAAGAGGATGTGGGATGAAGCTGGGTGTCGTCCAGTGGCACCGGTAAGGATCCGAAAGCCTTCACCCAGATCTTCGGAGCGACGCTGGGGAGGATCGCCAAGCAAAGGGGCTACAGGCAGGTGCAAATTCCTGCTGGATGGATGGGCTAAAGAAAGGGATTTAAAGAAGAGGGCAAGAACTATGATTGAGATCGAGAGTTCATGGGATTCAAATAGCAGCGTCAATGATGCTCCTAAATGTCAGAAGTGTGCTCTCAAGGAATCTGACCGAGGAAGAGGATATGGCAAAGATGTCAATTGGTTGATTGAGCGCCTTGGTAAAGCGATGGAGGAAAGAAATTAGATGACTATTGATGCGGCAAACGCATTTCCGGTGACGAAGGCTTCATCTGTTGGCTAGGAGACGGACAGAGTGACTGAAGGTTTTGTAGTGGTTGGACCGAATCAACCACCCAGGTCATCATGAGAGTCTTGTCATGGAACTGCAGGGGCTTTAACCAGCCGCCTGCAAAGCAACATATCATGCCCTTTTTTTAATCAATTTAAGCCTGAAATTTTGTTTTTAAAAGAAACTAAGTTAGCTTCTAGTAAAATCCTGTTTAGGTGGTTAGATGGTACTTGTTTTAGTAATTTGGAAGTAGTAGAAGCCAATCAATCAGCAGGAGGTCTAGCTATCTTTTGGAATTGTGGTGTAGATTTTGAAATATTAGAAAAATCACCACATTGTATAGCAGCTAGGTTCAGGGATGTAACTGGGGCTAAATGGGGGTTCCTTTTGGTGTATGGGCACCCAGACCAATCGTCTCGGGCAAGGTTTTGGCATGAAATTAAAGAAATCGCTCTGCGTTATCAGATGTGTTGGTCATGTTGAGGGATCTCAATCAAATTATGGAGCCTGGGATAAATGCGGGGGCCAAAAAATGTAGACTTTTTTACCTAAATAATTTTCAATGGAAGGACCTGAACAAAAATATATATCCCGGAGTGGTGTAGACAAATCTAGTTGTGTCGGATTTGCCAAATCCGAATCTATCCATTTTGTACTAGATTCGGATTTGGCAAATTCGAATCTCCTTGTATTACAACTATGTGATGAATCAATTCTATTGGGTAGATTCGGATTTGCCAGTACAAAATGGATAGATTCGGATTTGGAAAATCTGAGACAACTAGTTTTGTCCACTAAAAATAGAAAAAAAATTATTTTTGTCCACATCTTTTTTTGGCCGAAGCACCCAAAAATGTAAGAACAACAGGCATAACATTTGAGGGATTTATTGAATGAATTAGATATGATGGAGGTTCCTTTTAGGGGAAACAAGTATACTTGGACAAATAATCAAAAAGGTAGAGAGCGGATTGTGGAATGCTTGGATCGAGTATTTGTAGGACAGGCTTGGATCAATATGCATCCTCAAGCGTTTGTAAAAAATTTGCCGTGTGCAATCTCAGATCATGGCCCCTTTGTTTTGAGTACAAGGAAGGAGAAAAGAGTACAAAGCCAAAAAAAATAATTTGTTTTGAGGCTTTTTGGACAAGGAATGCAGTGGCTTCTGAAATTGTTAAAAATGTCTGGGTAGAGAGCGAAGGCTCGAGTGGGTCAAATGAACCTAAAGGTATATCTGAATTGCTAGATGTCACCCTCACACATCTGCAAACTGCAGCAGGCAATCGTTTGGGGGTTTAGATAAGATAATTAGAAACTGTATGGGGCGTTTGCAGTCTTTGCAACAATGGAAAGGAGTGATGGATAACCAGGAAGAGATAAATACGGCAAGAGAGGAATTGGAACAATTGCTGATTTTTCAAAATGACTTTTGGGCGCAAAGGGCAAAACTTACTTGGAGTCAAGAGGGGGACAGAAATACTGCTTTCTTTCATAAGTGGGCCACGAAAAGGAAAGAATGAAACTGGATCGGGGCATTGTTGGGTCCAGAAGGAGAGTGGTATTATGATGAAAGTCGGATAAGGGACCAAATGTCACAACATTTTTAGGAGGCTTTACTGGCAAGAGAGGAGGGGTTAAATGAAGACTTTCTTTGGGAGTCACCACCTTCGTTTATGAATTTGATTCAGGAAACACTTACTTTGGCTCAAATACAGAGTTTTGAAGAACCTTTCACGGGTATTGAGGTCGAAATGGCAATAAAAGGAATGTCACCTTGGAAAGCTCCGGGACCGAATGGCTTGCCGGCTGGATTTTATCAAAGGTTTTGGGAGACTGTCAAAGGAGAAACGTGAGAATGCTTTCTTAGCATCTTAAATGGACAAAAATGGGAAGAGGAATGGAACCAAACGAAAGTTATTTTTATCCCAAAAATAGGCAATCCAAAGACTCCCACAGACTATCGCCCCATTAGTCTGAGTAACGTTAAGTACAAAGTGGTGGCTAAGGTATTGGCGAACTAGTTAAAGAAGGTCTTACCCCACATCATATTAGAGGGATAAAATGGATTTACACCAGGAAGATATATTGGGGACAACATTCTGCTCACTCATGAGGCGGTGGAATACACTCGGAAGAGAAAGAAGGGGCGAAAAAGAGTGGCGGTGCTCAAGATTGACATGAGAAAGGCATATGATCGGGTCTCGTGGTCTTTTTTACAGCAATCATTGGAAGGATGGGTTTTCCGATGAACTTCATAAACCTGGTAATGAAATGTGTGTCAACAGTAAGTTTTACTACTTGTGTAAATGGGGTTCAATCAAGCTACTTTTCACCCATTCGAGGTCTAAGGCAAGGTTGTCCTATATCTCCGTATCTGTTTATTATTTGTTAGCAAGCATTGTCATTGGCTCTAATGAATTTAGATCAGCAAATTGGGGTTTTGGATTAAAATTAGCTACCACGGCACCGCGTCTGTCACACCTCATGTATGCGGATGATTGCTTGATCTTTATAGAGGCAACACAAAGAAATGTTAGAACTTTGTACGAGGTGTTACACTGGTATACTGCTAACTCGAGACAGAAGATAAATTTTGGAAAGTCGTCTATCATGGTGAGTCCTAATCTGTCCAAGAAGTTTAAAAAATGGATGTCTTCATGGCTTGGAATCCCTTTGCAGGGTTGTCAACAGAAGTGTTATGTCCCTATATTTCATGAAGAAAAAGTCATTTCTTTTTGGAGATATTGTTTAGAGGATGAAGAATAAGCAGAACTCCTGGAAGAATAAAACTTTGACAATGACAAGAAGAGCCGCTTTGGCTAAGCATTCATTGGCGGCATTGCCAATTTACATGATGGGGGCTTTCAAGCTGCCAAAGAACATTACAAAACAGATTGACAAAGTAGTGGCTAAGTTTATCTGGAACGGGGACAAGGAGGGTCGAGGGATTCACTAGAAATCATGGGAGCACTTGTGTAGATCTAAATTCCATGGTAGGCTGGGCTTTAGGACATCAAAGGAGATGAATCAGGCACTGTTAGCAAAGCTTGCATGGAGAATTTTGACCTGCAAAGAGTCACTATTTGCAAGGATCTTTATGGCAAAATATGTCAAAAATGGTGATTTTTTGGATTGTCCAGTGGCTAAGTCAACATCATGGGGATGGAGAAGTATAATGTGTGGGAGAGAGTTACTCAAGTCAGGTTTAAAGTGGCGGGTAGGAAATAGGGAAAGTATCAGGATTTAGGAGGAATGGATTCCGAGTTCAATAAATCCCCTGAGAAATGATCCGAATTTCCAACAGGATCTGTTTACGTGGTGGGTTAAAGACCTATGGGATCAACAAAGAAGGTGGCGTGCTCCTCTGATAAAAAGTGTTTTTCTGCCGGAAGTAGCAGCGAAGAATCTGGCAATGTACATTCCACAGTCTCAAGTGTTACACGTAGATCAGAAAGTCTGGTCAAAGACTGCAAACAGGGTATATACTATTAAAACTGGCTATCACGAAGCTAGAAACAGAGAGTCCCAGGATCAGAGGGTAGGAATGACATCAAGGCAGAATGAGTTGAGTACGACGGCATGGAAGATTTTTTTGTCGGTGCGTGTAACGGCAAAAATTCAATGGCTAATATGGAGAGTCTTAAATCATGTGATACAGTCGGCCACGGCTTTGAATCGGTGAGGTGTAGCAATATCAGTGAGCTGTGTTAGGTGTAATAGAGAAATAGAGAACACACAACACATTTTTACGGATTGTGAGCACTCGCAAAGGGTATGGAGGAGTTCCCTCTTAGGTTTTGATTTTAGCAGGGGATCCAGGATTTCCTTGGTGGAATGGTTTTAAGATTGGCTTACCTCAGCGCCAGGTGTTAATGTGATTCAACAGTCTTTCTTTATTTTCTGGCATATATGGATTGCGAGGAATAAAGCAGTGTGGGAATGCAGATCCAAGAGGCTTACCAGGTGCAACAGATGGCACTAACAGAATGGGGCATCTATACAAATGTTCAGCAAGCAACCCGTATGGGTGAGGTGGAGGCCCGGAGGAAAGGAAAGAATAAGGAGGAGTCTCGGGAACAGATGGGGGGAGTTCTACATCAGAACGGATGGGGCGTTCCAAGAACATGAAGTTAGAGGAGCTGGAGCTTGGGAAATTATTACAAACCAAGGAAAATACCTTTCTTCGGGGACAGAGTCTTTATATGCAGCATCGGCAGAGGATGCGGAGGGGAGAGCTTGTTTGAAGGGTCTTAAAGCATCTCTATCACTAGGCCTAATGGATTGTCAGCTACAAATGGATAACCAGAACCTGGTAGATTACATACAAGAGGACAAAGCATGCCCTTTGTATTTGTTACCATTGGTAGAAGATATCGGGTTGTGTATTTTCAGTTTTCATGAATGTAATGTGATTAAGGTAGAAAGGGAGATAGTTGAGGGAGCACACATGTTAGCAAAAATGTGCTTTCAAACTACTCCTTCTGGATTGTTGTGATTGTGTCTTTTGAGTATTAATGAAGTTAGAATTTCAATATATATATATATATATATATATATATATATCCTCAAGTTTGCATGGGGTATCATTTTAAGTAGAGATTTCCTCTTGAAATTCATCCTCAAAGCAAAATACGGCATAAATGAAACTGTAGTACCCAGAAACATCTTTGCTGTGGCTCTTTTTTTGTGGAAATAAGTCTCCCTTGTATGGTCGAAAGCTGTGGAAAGCATCAAGTGGATTACTGTGGATGAAAAAACAGTCAGTTTCTAGAAGGACAACTGGTTCAACTTAGACAAATCTTTTTATCTATTATCATCTTCCCCTACTAATCATGCTAATCTCGACAAGAAACTTAAGTATTATGTGAACAACTTTGGGGACTGGAAGTGGGATAACATCTCTCCACCTCTTTCTCTGTACATCATTAAAAGAATCACAGCCACCCCACGCCCAC